TCAGGGCAGGAAGGCAGGACCACCACAGCAGCCCAGGGGGCTTTCCCTCTGTGGGGTCCTGAATCCTATCTTCTCGTCCTCTTGCCTTTCCTTTTGGCTCATAAGCGAGGAGGGGGTGGCTTGCTCAAGGTCACCCTCCATGAGGCCCCTGCCCACGGTCGGCTGCTCTTTCCCTGCCTCCTCTCTGCCCGTCTCTGGCCCCCAGCCCTGGCTGGAGCCCGGGCATCCTGCACTGAGCCAAGCCAGAGGCCTTCGGAATGCCCGCAGGCAGCCCGTCCAGTCCCGGGTGGATGCCTGTTCCCTCCTCCTGGGCTGCCTCCGCGTGGTCCTTCCTGTGGAAGCTTCCCTCATCGCACCCCGGGAATCCTCCCCCCACTTCCCCTCTGCCCCACCTGGGCGCGGGGCCTGACGGCCCAAAGCTTCGTCTCCAGGGGGAGGCAGGAGGCCATTCCTGTCCTCCTTGGCTCAGTTTCCTAGCCAGGGTGAGAGCCCAAAACAGTGTCCCCTTCTCTTCTTCCACCAAGCCCTCGGGACCCACCCCAGTCTGCCCTGTTGTCCTGAGAAAGGCTCAGGCTCCCTGCGCACATGCAGGAGCTCCGCTTCTCCTGCAGCCTGACCCGGTCTCCCCCGACTGAGACCCTCGGGGTGGGGGTCTGCAGAGGAAAGGTGCTCACTGGAGAACATTCTCCAGAGCTTTCCTGCCTCAGAAGCCCACTCATTCTCACGCTTCTTTTTTCCTTCCCTTTTTAGGCCATGATTTCTGGAGAGCTTGACATTCTCAAAGACTGGTGCTATGAAGCAGTGAGTGTTTGCTCGCTTTTTTCTTTCTTTCGTTCTTTTTTCTATTTAGTCCTAAAAAGAAATCACAGTTTGGAGAGGATCTGCTCAGGCGGCTCATCCTGGGAAGGGCCCGCCAGGGTGGGGGGCCCTGGGGTGGGGGTGGCTGCAGGCCAGGGCGAGGGCGTGGTGGAACGGGACAGCGGCTAGCTCTGGGGCACATTGGATACTCCCCTGGTGCTCAGGGGTTGCGGGTGCTGGACAGCAAGCAGGGTGTGAGGCCCCGGGCCTGCGTCACCTCCCTTCCCTGGGCCAGAGGTGCATCGTCAGAGTCATGAGGGTACAGTGCAGACACAGGAGCAGCTCCAGAATGCGCGGCGCCAGACGGATTTATCAGCTGTTCTCATTGTGAGAACCTGAAACACAGATCAAGACAGACATGGATAGATTCCCACCCGGGGAGAAGCCTGTGTCCAGAGGAGGGGCTCCGGGTCCCAGGCCACAGGCTGACCTGGACCGCGAGGCAGAGGGTCAGGCATCCTTCAGAGCACACTGTCCGCCCTGCCCGTTCTTGGAAGCCGTCTTGTCACAGTGGGGCTCCCGTCTGTCTCTCAGGCACTTCGCCTCACCCTGCTTACTCCCTGACCTGCGCTTCTTGGGGTTTGGTTTTTACCCCTGGCTTCTTTATGTTGAGCAATCCAGAGTCTCTTGGCTGATTCTATTCTGTACTCAGCTCACAAACAACTTGGAAAAAGCAGAGGAGATGTCAGATTTTCTTTTCAAATACTCCCCTGCACGGTGACTAATCCAGCAGGCATTTATGAGT